CACAGTAAAGATTGTTTATCAAATCATAAATGACCAGCATTAATGGAGCTAGATAAGCACAGCAGAGATGGCTATATGACTCAGTAGACACATGCACTGGGTTCTGTATGACTAGGTAGAAAGCTAAAGGAGAAGCAGAGAGCCTGGCTTCTCTGAGCTGGGCTTATTCGTATATTGTCTCTCTTGACCACAAGCACCCTGAGTGCAGATGACTTTCAAAGTTTAATTCTTCTTGGAAGTCGTCTTTCTCCTAAAGAGAGCCCCAAAGTACCAGGCACTCAGAAGAAGCACGGTTTTGAGGCCATAGACCTTTAACTTTCATGTATGATTTTAGAAAATATTTCATCAGGATTCCTTGAAAATTAGAATGAATTCAACAAACTACAGCTCACTGGCCAAATATGGCCACCTGTCTACCTCTTTTTGTAAGCAAGGTTTTATTGGAACAGAGCCACACTTACACATTTATGTCTTTGTCTTTGACTGCTTTTGCCCTACAAATGTAGAGTAATGGCCCACAAAGCCAAAATTATTTACTATTTGGGTATTTTAGGAAAAGTTCCTGAATTAGAGCATACAAATGGGACTCCAGTGAAGCACCCAAGTATTAATCGATGTGAATTTAGAAAATAGAACTCAGTGCAACCAGAACCTTACCAAGTTTTGCTGACATAGAACTTAATCAGGCTCCTCTTAGGACCTTCTCTCAAAAAAAAAATGCTCGCCTGCACATTACACCCTGGACATTCTATTTGCAGCTTTTCATCACTTTCAACCTATTATCAACTTGTCTCCTTTACATTCTCCCCCTCTGCTGTCCCCAGGATGCCTATTGCCATACTTGATGTTTTGATATTTAAAAAAATGTTTCAATGTTTTTAAGACTCCATAGGAATCACCACTGCTCCCTCAGGAAAGTTGTTCTGAAATTGTTCACATTCTTTACCATTTACAATTTTTTCAGAATTGTACATATTCTTGAAAATGTTTCATTCACCAGAGATTTTGGGAAATTTGTTTAAAGTATTACATATTCATTTAAATTATGTAGACTCAGAGAAGAAAAAGCCATATTAGGGTCTAGTTTTTCAGACAAATTTGTCTTAGAAATAATATATAAGATTAAAATTCTAAAATAAACTGAAAAATGCAACTGAAAGAAATGGTAGTTTACATTCTCAGGCTCAAAAGATATGGATATTTTATGACAGTGATAGCAAACTTGGAAAGCCTAAAGAAATGTTCTTCCTTAGTAAACATTTGAGTGCTGATAATTTTCTGTCAATTCACAGGAATGCATGAAGCATTTAATCTGATGCTTATTTTGCCAGGTATAAATTTTTTTCTCTGTGATTGTGAGAAACACATTGTGAAATAGGCAATAAAATAGAGATTATAAATAATATTTCCTTGCAAATATTATGAACCATGAAATATTTTTCTCTCATCATCTAGAACAACGTCTATAATATAGTAGACACTCAATAAATTATTGAACAAATGAATGAATCAATCAATCGATCGAAATTAAGTTCAAGTCACATTTTGTATAACAGGGTTTGAACCATACATCTCTTTAACTGTGATTATCATTCTTGAATAAATGCATAACTTTATATTTTTGGCTTTTGCTTATTATAGAATAACTTCAAATCAGCTTGCAATAATCTTTCCTTATTCAAGGTTTTGCTTTCCACAGTTTCAGTTTACCAGTGGTCAAATACAGCCCAAAAATATTAAATGGAAAATTTCAGAAATTAACAACTCATGAATTTTAAATTATGTGCCATTCTGAGTAGCAGTCTCATGCTGTCCCTCTCTGTTTCACAAGGATGTGATTCATCCCTTTGTCCAGCATATCTATGTTGTTTACCGTCCCCACCCATTGGTCACTTAGTGGCCTTCTTGGTTATCAGATCTACTGTCGCTCTGTTGGTATCACAGAGCTTGTGTTGACATAACATTTATTATACTAATAACGGTCCCAAAGCACAAGAGTAGTGATGGTGATAATTAGGATATGCCAAAGAGAAGCCATAAAGTACTTCCTTTAAGTGAAAGGTGAGTACGATAAGATATTTTGACAGAGAGACTACATTCACATGACATTTATTTCAGTATATTGTTATAATTATCCTATTTTGTTATTAGTTTTTGTTGATAATCTCTTACTGTGCCTAATTATAAATTAAACTTTATCATAGCTGGGCATGTATAGAAGAAAACAGTATATATAGGGTTTGTTACTATTCATGATTTCAGGCATCCACTGGGGGTCTTGGAATATAATCCCCTTGGTTAAGGGGGGGATTACTATACTGCCTAGGGAAAAATTTGAACAACATAAAAGAAAAAAATGTCCAGCCTGATTCAAACTCTTGTGCATGGTTCCACTGGCAAGCAGTCATGGAAGAACTCGACTTGTATATTTGTTTTTAATACTTGCTTCACTATTTATAAGCCAAGATGAGCTGGCTTATTAAAAATTAATGATGCCAATAAAAATAGATAAATGGAATCATGTAACAGAATGGAGTGCAGAAATATATGGTCGATTCACATATGTGGTCAATTTATTTTTGACAAAGATGCCAAGACAATTCAATGGAGAAGAGAAAAATCTTTTAAAAAAAGAATGGAGAAATAACTGAAGGGAAAAATTAATGTCAACTCTACTTTTACCACACACAAAAGTTAACTCAATGTAGATCACAGAACTAAATATAAAAGCTATATAAAATATATATAAATATAAAAACTATAAAGCTTCTAGAAGCATAGGAAAATATCTTTGTGACCTCAATATTTATAAAGATTTCTTAGACAAAGTACAAAAATCACTAAATTTCAAAGAAAAAGAATTTAAAAATTTCTTTCATAAAAAGTGGAAACTTCTGTTCTTTAAAAAGCACCATTAAGAATGAAAAGGCAAGCCATAGATTGGGAAGGAATGTTTGCAAGAGTGTGTGTGTGTGTGTGTGTGTGTGTGTATATATATATATAAAACGTCATATAGCAAGCAATTCAGTTTCATTTTTAATGGGCAAAAGCTTTAAATCGATTATTCACAACAGAAAATATATAACTAGTTGATAAGTTCACGAATTAGAACTCAACATCATTAGCTGCTAATCATTAGAAAAATGTAAATTAAAACCACAGACATACCACTATATACACACTGGAATGGCCAAAATTTAAAAAATTGCTAATATAAAGTGTTAGCGAGGATGTGGAAAAATAGATCCTCCCATACAAGCCTGGTGAAAATGTGAAATATTATAACCACTCTGGAGAACTGTTTGTCAGTTTCTTACAAAGTTTAACCCACATTTACCTGATGTCATAGGCATTCAATCCCTAAATAATTACCCAAGAGAAGTGAAAATATATTTCCACAAAAAGACATACACAAATGTTTATAGCAGCTTTTACTCTTAATATTGAAAAACTGGAAACAACATAAGTATACATGATAGGTAAATGGATAGACAAATTATAGCATATTCATGCAATAGAATATTACTCCACAATAAAAATAAAAAAGCTACTGATACACACAATGACATGGATCCCTCTCAAAAATATTATGCTGAATAAAAGAAATCAGATACAAAAGAATATATACTAAATTATTCCACAAATGAAACTCTAGAATAAGCAAAGCTAATACATAGGTAACAGAAAGTAGATCAGTGGTTGCTTGATGGGTAGATAGGTGGGTGGAGAACGAACTATAAAGGTTAATGGAAATGTTCTTATATTGATATTCTTGCTAGTTATATGGATGTAATCATTTGTCAAAATTTATCAAATTGTGTACTTAAAATGTATGTATTTAACTTTATGTAAATTATACATCATTAAGATTGTATGAAAATGAAAAAATTTAAAGAGGCAAAGAATGTACACAGATAATTAACAAAAGAGAGACATAAATCAACAAACTTATGTAAAAATGCTCAACTTCGTTAGGCATCGGAGAAATGCAAACTGAATCACAGTGACATATCATTTCATACCCATTATAAAGATTAACAACATGTCTACCCTATCATCCATCATTTCAAGTCAAGGTCTAACCCCAAGATAAATAAAAACATATGTCTACCAAAAGACTTGTGCAAGAATGTTTATAGCAGCTTTAGTTATAGGAAACCTAAACTAGAAATAAACCAAATACCAATAGGAGAATAGATAAACAAATGTGGCATAATTGTAGAATGCGATCATATTCACCTATAAAGAGAATTGAACTAGTGATATACATAGCAACATGAAAGGATCTAAAACACATTCTGTTGAGCCAAAGAAGTCAGATACAAAAACATATACCATAATATTCTATTTACATAAGGTTCATAAATAGCCAAATTATTCTCTAGTGACAAATCAGAACAGTGGTTGCTATGAAGGGAAGACTGACTGGAAGGGATGTAAGGAAACTTTCTGAGTGACAGAAATGTCCTATATCTTAAGGTGATGGGTTACATGGTTGTATATATTTATCAAACTCACTGATTCTAGAAACTTGAATTTAAGAACTTAAGATCAGTTATATTTCACTCCATATAAATTTTATCTCAATTAATAAAAAAATCTACCAAGTCAATTGAGTAAGTATAGACTTTATCACCCCTTTTCTTTCAAGGACAATTTGGCTAATAAACATATAGTCCTGGAATAATGTTAAAGACATTTTATCTACTTTTCTTTGAAGAAAATTATTTTAAAAATCATCCCTTCAAATAAAATGTGATTCTTTTCTAGCCATTAGAACATTTAATCCATAGTTCACATTATTGAGAGCGTCATTCAATGAAATAAAGTATTTATTATTTTGTTTAGTAGTACTTAAGGTTTTTACTACACGATGGTGAGAAAGAAGTGGAAGAGATCAAGATTATCTAAACTAAGCAGCCGTTCTTAGTGAAAGGTAAGATTTAAGGTTGATTAGCTACAAGACCAGGAAGAAAGAGCATACCTTCTGAGAGCCTCACCTTGTAACGTTGTTCTTTTACCTTTTCTATTTTAGCCTTTATCATGGCCCGTTGAGCCCCTCAGGGAGGGGCTAGTGGGAACAGAAGCAAAATCGCTGGAAGCTCCAAGACTCACATCCCCTCCTGCAGGAGTTCCTGTAGTATCTGAGGCTGTCAGAACAGGAACCAGCCTTTGTCGCCTGGATGTATCCTGGCAACCTGTCAACAAAAGGGACAGGGCTGAGTTCTCTAGTAACAGATTGGAAAAATCCAAAACAAGGGGCAAGGGAACTGAGAAACCGACAGCAAAATAAGTATGGACCTCAGCTTTCTTTAAAGTCGACTCCAGCAACTTTACCAATGGACTGAGCATCGAATAAAGATAGGCAGGTGGATTTAAGTCACTAGGCTCTTGGTGTGGAAATAAGGTGGAAACGACTTCTTTTCTAAGGAAGCAAAAAGAAGCAAAATTTACTGAGTGTCTTATTGATCTTTTCTAGGGTCTTTAAAAAGGATCATCTCTGTAGGAGAGCTTGGCATCTCCTCACAGAGAGAGACGGATCTCCATGGCTCTCAGAGGGTGTCTGTGCTTTGGTCTAAAATGAAAGAAAGTATCAAATGTAGAAGTGATGGCTAGTTTATTTTCTAAGGTCAACATTCTAAAACGTATCTGAAATAATTTTTTTAAACCTCATATTTAAAAATACTCTGAGACAGTAAGCTAATTGTGGTACAATCCTACAATGAAATACTTTGCAAGCATTAAAGTTCATAAAGCAAAAACAGTTTACTGACATGGGAAGAAGTCCACAATATATTTCTAAAAAGAGAAGCTACAAAACAGAATAAACAGTTGGATCTCATTAAACTCTGTACGTGTGTGTGCATGCATGTGCACATGTGTGTGCATGCATGTGCGTGTGTGTGCTCTTAACTCAAAGAACATTCGCCAAAACCTTAACAGCAGTAATTGCTGGATGAAGAGATTAAGGTACATTTTATTAAATGGTTTTTAGGGTTAGGAGTTGGGGGAAAAAAGAACCCCACCCTTTAAGATTCCAAAACACTGTCCCTCACCCCAAACTGGGATGTATAAGGAATTCACAGGACAGTCTAAAGTCCCTGCTGGTTAATGAAGTTCTACAACTTAACATTCTATAACTCTCAGAAGATGGATATATCCTCTACAGAGATTTACAGATCTATCTCAATTACACCATCACATAAAATAGTTTGTATGCTTTTCTTCTGAAACCTTTCATAAGATGCCATATATAAATGATGAGGCATGCCTAAGATGCCTAAAGAGCTGCTACAGTGTGACTCTATATTGAGATGGGGGCAAGAAAACTTAGTTTTACATTTGGCTTTTTACCAACTTGTGGGCGCCTACTTATTTCTTACTTTACAGAAATTATATGCTTTCTCAAATCTCTTGTGAGCAAAATGAGATATTTCTCTAAAGAAACTGCCCAATAAATAAACACCATCCTAAATGCACACACGGTATCCAGTCAAGTGGCCAGCTATTTGGGCCAGATGGCAGAGGAACAGATAGGAACTGCTGGCCTAGGACAGGACAACCCTGGGAAAATACTGAGAGCAGATATTTCCATGGTAAAATAGGGCAAAGAGTTCTTTATCTGGACTGGAGCAACTGCCCTCAGAAGGCCTGGAAGTAACAGCTTCTGCACCAGTGGGCACAAGTGTTAGGTGGGTCACTAACAGTATGTGCATTCGCAGCCCTCTCTTCCCTGGTGCGGTTGCCAAGTTACCAGCTGCTTTTCTGCAGTCATCAGAGCTGCTTCTGAAACTGGTTGGAGAGGAGCCGTTGTTTCCTAACTCTGGACCCGTTTGAAATTCATGGGTTTGAACTTCCTGGTGTTCAAATGTATTTTGTCTTAGTAAAACAGGCCTTCCTAGGTGCCTGCCCCCCCACCCCACCCGCTCCCCTCCACCCTGTCTCCCTTTCTCTGTCTCTTCTCTCCCTCCCTTCTTCCCCCGTCTTTGTCTTTTAAAGAAACCAAAACTTTTAAGTGTCTTATATATTTTTTAAAAATCAAGCTCAAAAGGCATCTTAGATATTAAATAGCTCTTACAACACAACCTTTTGATGATTTAAGAGTAAATGAAGCAGAAACATATGGATTCCATTTTCCATAACTCACACACGGTCCTTAAAAAATCAAGGAGAAATGTGCTCAGCACGATGTATTCTGTTTGGTTGAACCCAAAACATTTGAAAAATACTTGGAGGCTGATGAATCCAAAATATTTACCCATCCCTATTTATAACATCGAGGGAAAAAGCCCTTGATTCATGGTGACAGCGAAACTGCTTACATCTGCTGAGTGGGCAACCAGCAACCAGTGCAAGCTTCAAGATAACTGTGTTCCCTCTCCTGTTCCTACTCCAGACACTTTACTCAACCTCGGATCAAAGACACTGCAGCCCTTACTTAAACAGAGCTAGTCTGGTTTAGTATCGTTTGAATTTTTCTCACCTAAGACAATTGCGAGTTGTTTGAAGCTATCCGATGTCCAATCATGTTTGCGCCACTGTGGAATGATGCCAGCCTCTATCAATAATCCAGATCTTACTCCTTGTGGCCACAGCCCCACCACAAGGAATTCTGGCTTATTTTCCCTTCATAAAACCACAGCTATTGTGCCTGCACAAGCCCCTGATTTTTTTTATTAAAGGAATAAATCATGGTGATTTTATGGAGCAAGAGAAATGCTGCTCTCTGCCAGTGTCTTTGATGATCCTGATGTCTCTTCATTGATGCAAAGCCCAAATCCTACTCTGAAAGCTACTGGGCATGGGCTACATTCTCCACACAATATTTTTTTTTTTTTTTAACAGCAGCAGCAGGAACTCAAGCAGGATGTTTGTGAAGTTTGGCAAAACAGGTCCGCTGGGCGTCTTGTTCTCTTCTACCCAGTTATTGTTTACTTTGCCTTACCACTTAACTCAGAAAACAGCCAGCGCCTGATATCCCGTTATCTCAAATACTTTAATGATCATATAAGGCGAAGTATTAGTATCCTTGTTTTACAGAAGAGAAGACTGGAGTGTATGGGCTTGAAGCGACTTGCCCCAAATTGCAAGGCTAATCCAGAGCAAATCTGGGTCTGACCTGTATGTCCTCTGGTGCCCACTCACTCTCCTTCCACAGCCTTCCGCAACACCTGGCTGTCAGGCGGCCACACAGAACAGGCTGACCTAAAAGAGACCGCTGTTTTTTAACATATGCCTTTTGTCACAAGAAAAGTTTCTGCATAAATTGAGTTTTACATGCTATGTTGAATTTGAAAATGTCTAAATTTAAAATATCAAAGTGTCCCACAGTAGATTAGAAAAGTAGGGAGGATACTCTTTAAATATAGACTTTTAAAACTAAAAAACAAAAAGTATACTATTTGATGTATCAGAGTCCTGACCCATACATTTTAAATCCCTGAGGACTCCTTGCCCTAGGGCAGTGTTTTTCAACTTTTTCTTCCCCATTGTTGTTCCCCTTCCAAGTCTTTTTATATCTATTTTTTTCTAATCCTCCCCAATCATGAAATTTTAATATCACAGATATATCTTATATCTGTTTATATATTACAGCCCTTTGATGGGCCACACACTAATGTGTTATCTAAAATTATGTCATCCCTAAAGCCAAATTTTACTGCGTTTGTGGGAATGCATGCCCGAGGGACATACATCCAAAGAACTGACGATGTTGGCCTTAGATAATCTTATGGTCAAGCTGATACACAGAAAACATGATGAAGAGGCCACAGAAACCATGGAAACTCTTCCTAAATTGCCAAAACAAAAAAGCATAGCAAACTATCCCTTAACTGTGTTCAACAGAAAAATGGATTTGTTTGAAAAGAGCAAAAAATATATCATATTTTCTATACATTTGAGTGGTTTTATCACAAAAATAAAATTCTTGGAGCTGAAGTAGACTTTAAAATAGTCTCTAGTCCAGCCAACTGTCTTCAGGCAAAAAGATATTGGTCTGACTTTTTAAAATTGACGAGGCATCTCAGCAGAGGGCATTCAGTTATTTGTTTCTGTGCTACAGATTTAAACTCAGACTCCAATAAAAAATTCTCAAAAGACTTTCTTGCTTTATCTTTGGCATGATGAAATATGCTGCCAAAGCAGATAGAAGGATTTTTTTCTTTTGATTTCTCTTCTTACGGACAGCGGGTGTTTCTTCAGTATGGTATCTAGCACTCCGCTGATAATAAAATATTCTGTATATACTATGTTATAAAACCTCCTGTTTCAAGGGCCTGAGATTTTAAATATCTGCTGTGAGTCTAGATAACTCATCATAAGCTCTGGCCCGCCAAACTCTCCTAGCACAGCTCTCCACCCTCCATCTCTTTTTCAACACCGACTAAACCAAACCACACACAGTACTTGTACATAGTATGTGCTCAAAAAATATTTGCCTACTAAGCTGAGTACACACCTTTTTTTGTTAAAAGTGCTCCTAATAGTGACCAGTTTGACTGAAAGTGACTAAAATTAGAAACTGTTAAGGCCAGATTAATACTTAACATCATACAAACATTTTGAAAGAATTTTGCCTCTCTTTTTAGAGAATTGGCAGAAGTCCAATGCCTTATGACATGTGAACAATAAATGTTTAATGACTACTTAGTCACCAGTTTATTACCCACAGATTTCTAAAGCTGGCTGAAATTAGTTTGTTCATGACTGATAACAGTTTAATATTTTACCTTTCCATGTGCATTTTATGAAAAGCATTTCAACCACTTAATTGAAAACAGTAAGTTATAAGGGAAGTCTCTCTTATTCTCATTCCTTCCACAAGACTCAGAGGGAGGGATGTTTCTTCTCTGACAATTTGTTCCCTTCTTAGTCCCTCCTTTCTAGTACCTTTAGTTTCTTCTATTCTACTGGCTTGTTTCCCTCAACCTTTAGTTGGTTTCAGACGTCCTGTCTTAAACAAAAAATAAATCTGCATTTGCTCTCTACATCTGCTCTCTTCTTGATAAAGAATGGTCTAAGTCACTGCTTCATCCTCCTTTTACCTCCATTTTTCACCCTCTCTCTACCCTATCATCTGGATTCTATCTTTTTTTCTCACTTGAAGCATCTTGTTTAAATTTAATCAGTGGCACTTTAACCAACTCATGCAAGAATTTTTTCCAGTTTCCATTACCCACCATAACTGTGATGGGTTTTATACTGTCACCTTCATACCTATTAGAAATTCTCCCCTCTCTTAACCATCCGTTGATTTTTTTAAAAAGTACAAATTCCTTGGATTGACTTCAGACCTGATAAATACAAATGTAATCCATCCCAGAAGTAGAGTAAAACCTAAGTCACGGCCCGCAGTTCCTGATGTGGAGGCTGTTGCTCACCACCCTGGGGGAGTGGGGAGAGAGATGGCAGCTAGTTAACTACTAACTAGCCCCGCATTCTGAGACCTAGAAAGAAAGAAGATGGGTCGTCCTTGTTGTGTATCAAGTCTTGTGCCAGGCGATTTGCTATTGAGTGCTCCCTTTGCTGTGATAGGATGAAATCTTCTGTCCCTCCTCATTCTCTGATTTCTTACAGGTCTTTGCTGAGATAGAAACTTTGTTAGAGTAATAATTCATCAAACCTTTATCAAAGCATTGGTCAATATTAGCAAGACCAAATTTGTTTGCCTTGTAGAGGCTCTCCTTAAACTCTGAAAGCCTTAAGCTGACTCTCGTGGAGAGTATTTCTCCAATGCCTAATGATGTTGGATTGAGGGCAGATGGTAAGGGACACCAGAAACAGACAATATTTTCCAGACACTCACCTCAGTCTGACTCTGTATGAACCAAAATGAAACTTGATAGGAAAATCATCCTCTGAATCAGTAGTTCTCAACGGGTGATGATTGCTCCTGTCCAGAGTTATTTTTTGTTGTCACATATGAGGTCGAGGGAGTGCTACTGGCATCTAGTGGGCAGAGGCCTGGGATGCTGCTAAACTTCCTCCAATGCACAGCACAGTCCTCCGCAGCGAAGAATTATCTGGTTGAAATGCCAATAGTGCCAGGGTTATGCCTTATGCTCTGGACCCTCCAAGTGTTCAAATGAGAATGCTTTCCTTCTAGAATAGGCTATGTCAACCGGCTCTTTCCACACTCATGATGCATAACTAAGGGATTACACTACAAATGAAGCAGCAGGTGCAGAGAGTCTAAATAGCTTAGGCAGATTTAGTAGCCAGTAAGTGAGGACACCTTTGAAATGTAAATACAGGCCCTGCCTGACTGACTTCAGAGACTATGCTCTTTTCCACATCACCTACCCTGAGCAGCTAAGCAGCAGACATTTGGTTGTACGTGACTAAGGGTGAAATCACTTCTGCAATGCAAAAGTCAGTTAGAGAAAGTGAAAGGACAGAAAACTAAGCCAAATTTTCCCTCTGTGAAAGCTGTAATGGAATTAGAGTGGGTGGGAATAAAGCTAGAAGTTGTCTGAAGCGTGGGCAAGTGCATACTCTGAGACCAGAGCCTAGTTACAGGAAAATACTAAGACAAGGTCAGCTGGGTTACTCAAAGGTGGCCACACCAAAGTTTGCTCCGACATAAAGCAAAGACTGGCAGAGGCTCTGATGAACATGGTCTCAAACAAGTTCTGCTCCTGAATATGCCTGGTTTGTTACATCCCCTGGGCCTTTAACCATGCTGCTCCTGTCCCCCACAGGAACTTCCGCCCCAAGCTCCCTCCCCCTCCTAAATCCCTAATGCTCCTTCTCAGAGCAGCCACTCAATATACGACCATTGAATTTTGAACTTTTTGGCGAGTAAGATACTGTTTTTGGTTCATATTGTTATTATTAACAGTATATTATCTCTCCAACATCAAACTCAGAATGGAAAATGTTATTTTCTTTAATTGTGGAGTTCTTATTTTAACAAATATTAGCTATTTCTGTAGTCATTCCCACTTCATTTTAGAAAAAAAGGCATCTACGGTCTAGTGGGAATATCTTATCCATCTAGTTTAATGTAAAGCCAAGAAAAATATGGTCCTTTTCATTCTTTAAAATTATACTCATTTTCTTGAATGGGATCGATCTATCTATCTATCTATCTATCTGTCATCTAGCTAGCTAGCTAGCTATCATCTATCCATCCATCCATCCATCCATGCAGTACAAAATAAAAAAAAATAAATAATGAAAACAGGGTATACATAAAAAATAAATTCTTTTCCTACCCGTGACTCACCAGGCTTCCACTCTAGGACCTACCCCAGTGGCAACCTCTGTTATCAGTTTCTTGTGCATCCTTCCAGAAAGTCTATACATTTACAGAAGTATGCCTATGTGTGAATATCATCCCCTGACCTGAAGGCCAGTGCTCTTCACATTCCTCTCTATGGCCACTGTGGCTTCTATTGCTCAAGACAAGCCATGACAAAACAGATGACACATTCATGCTGTTGAAGGAAAACTCAGTGACTCAGATAGACACAAATTGTTCCATACACCTTTCATCCTCATTACCTGGTAACTTTGCCAAGGTCAAGTGGTGACATTTTGATTTACCATTTAGCAGACTGCATACAACTCATATTTGACGAGAATCAGAAATTCAAATACCAAAAAAGAAAAAAAATATTTTCTTAAGGCCTCCGGTTTCGTAATTGAACTTGCTTTTTTGCTTTGTTGAAAATATTTTCCTTGCAGTTCAATGAACACGGTCTATCTGAAAGAATAAAAACAGCAATCACCTCAAACTCCCAATTAATCATCAGATCTTCAAATTTAAGTTCCAGTTTTACTACATTTCTGAAATCTCCATTTAGCATCTAAAAAAGAACAAGGACCAAGGAGCCTCATTGTTTTGACTAGCCAGATTAGGTTGAGCCGAATCCAGGCTTCAGGTATGAAATGCAAGTTTGGCTAACTGTATCTTTGCCATTTACAAGAACCTGTATTCAAATAAATCAGGGATACATTTCTCTTGGCTACAGAGAGCCTTTTAAATAGTGACTTCAGCCTTCCTAAGGTTTTTGTCCGGGTTGCCTGAAAGTGGACAATTTTCACAAGTTTGCTTTGGCACCCATGGCATGAATTTTTATTGAAAGTCACAGTTGTTTTAGTGGGTACCAGTCTGCCAGGAGATCTCTGTAGAGGCCTCCCAGCCAATTCCATGAGAACTATGTGCACCTAAAACATGCCAAACGTTGTAAGAAGTGACCTGGCCTCCAACTCTTTGCTCGCCTGCACACGACCACTTACTCATTTGTACTTTTGATTTAAGGACACACTATTGAGTGTGCCTGCAGCATTTTTAAAGTCAAACAGCTATCTCTATATTGAAGACTCCTCTGCTTTCTCCATGTAAAGGTTTCTTTTTCTCTGGAGTTACACCTAATTTATTCTATCATATCAAACAGCCAAGGAAACCTAAGAGAGAGAGGTTTGTTGAGAACTTACATTTTCCGTAGAATTAAACAAAGTAAGGATTTGGTTGGGAAGAAATGACAGTATAGCCCAAAACCCATTCTCAAAATGCCCATTAAATAACCAGTGGGAAGAATCACTGACTTAGGAGGCTTCAAATAAATGTGCAGAGGTATTCTGAGATGAACAGACATCTGTTATAATAATGAAGAAAATAAATGGAAAAATCATTGATAAGAGAGTTGGGAGGCCTTTGAAGAAGTGGGGCCTATGCACATTTCATGTCTCAATTCTTGGAACTGTGCTTAAGTGACTGACCTGTTCTTAAATTCAGCTCAAAGCTGAACAACAAACATCCTGGATCCATGATTGCCGCATGGACATATGTGAACTTTACTTTCTCCTTATCATGGACTACCTGCATTCCAAAATCTGAAAGGAACCATTCCATTTCAACGACCAGCATCTTCATTTACATAATTGGTCTGACCAGTCCCAGCTGACCTAGCCAACATCTTTCATGTACATAGAGGTCTTTAATGAGAACAAGTCTGATGGTTTTGCCTTTTATCAACGCTGCCTTTTTTTGGACAATTTGTCCTTTCAGAGGACAATTTAGGGTGCTCCCTGAATCTGTGCCCCAGACTGCAATCCCTCCTTTGCTCAAATAAACACTTTTTTATTCTTTATTATGGCCTAATCCTTTGTTGTTGTTGTTGTTGTTAACAGTTATTTTGATATTACCGCTCACAAACCATCACATAATCACCATGAAGTCAAACCAAAATTGCTTAGAGTTTAAAAGACCTTTGCCCCAAGATTGAGAAGTCTTCCATATTTTTCCTTTATTTTATTATTTTTTTCTACATGCCATTTTATCATTGTTTTGTTACTTTGTATGATCGGAAAGTTCATTAGAATTTTACTTTATGAAACTCTTAAGAAGTCTTAGCTTATTAATGGCTCAGCCTTGAAACAACACAATTTTCATTTTTAAAATTAGGCTAAAATATTCTAAGACAGTTATTTCATAGTAATATACAGCCTTCTTAGTAAATTTTCATTAAGGCCAGAAAACTAATGCATAGCAGGGGAAAAAAATAGATTTTACTAGCTGTTCTAGTGAAAAAAATTTTCATACCAACTGAAAAGAAACCTGTTATTTTATAATTTTCACCTTCCCTTCAATTATACTAACTTTAATATTTTTCTTTTGAATTCCCCTGACTTAGACAGCGCTCTTAAACCTCAAGATCGTAAAAACAAGAAACCTTTCCAAAAGCACAAGGGTAAAGTTTCAACCTGCTGTTAAAAATACCACTGAGGAGGCCTCATTTTCTGGGCAGGTTTCATAGGTTACATGAACTTACAGAGCTACAGTGGGGAACACTGAATTAAACAGGACTGAAGAAGGATGTGAGCGTGGGCTCTATCAGCCATCTTGTATCCAAGAGGGATGGAAGCCAATAGCTGAGAACAGCAAAGTAGTAAAATGGAAAGTATCTAGGTATTTGATGATGTCATTATGCCACTGAATTTAACTAATCTTGAGACCTCCTACCTCTAGACTTTTTATTTTAATGGGATAATAAATATCACTATAGTTTAAGTCATCATTTATCATATTTTCTACTATACTCAACCTAACTATTCTTATCTATTACATGAAATAAGGTGGTCCATTCAGGACTGGACTTATAATCAATCCAGCCAGAGGCAGACACCAACTCTTATAGCCCATGGCCTACAGAGAGTCACTGGTCCTGGGGGTTGGTAATTCTATTGCTGCAAGTCTCCGAGGAGTAGAGAATATTCACTCATGTGTTGCCAAAAAAGAAACTTATTCTTAGGATTGTAGCAATTTGGTTTATAACCCTTGGCACACATGTGAGGAATAGGAGAATGGAGAGAGAAGAAAAGATGCTGATGTGTTTCTCCTATTATTTTATTCTTCTTATGAAACTGTTCTGAGCAATGGGAGAATAAGTTGTTTCCCATGGTTGGACTCATAAGGTGAAATTAGCTATTGAGATTCATTGGCTTTCAAAGGCATCTTTTGATGCTTAATACTGAGGATACAGGTTACGGAATTAGAGTACATTGGAGTACATTAATGTGTATTATTTTGGAAAAACCTCACGCTTGTTTCTCCTCATATTAAACAAAAACTGGGTGGTATAAGTGTCAATACTGCATTTTTAATTTCTTTGTTTTACCTTAAATATCTTTTATCTCCCCCCCTCCCCCTCAAAATCCTCTGATCTTTCCAGTATTGCTATAATCTTTGGTAGCTTTCTTTTCATGGTCCTAATTTTATCATTATATCAGTTAGGTTATGATCTTATATGCTGCAAAAAAAAAAACCAAAAAAAACCAGTAGGTTAAATTAGATAGAAATTTATTTCTCATTTAACAGTCTGAGTGAAAACAGTCCAAAATAGATAGGCAGTTTCATGGTGTCAGGGACTCAAGCTTATTGTATCTTATTGTTCCACCATCATGGAGCTTCGGTCTCATGGTCTAAGGTGGCTGTTCGAGTTCCCACCATTATATCTCCAATCCAACCAGCCAGAAGGGAAAAGAAGAAATGGAAGGGACATCGGTTCCATTCAGAGGCATGTAGGCCTTTAAGGACCATGTCCCCAGATAAAACTCAAATTTTATTACTAAATAAAGAAGTGAAGAGTGTGTTTGGGGGACAAACAATCTCTGTCACACTCATTCACCAGATGGTTCAGAGGGGCTGTAGCTGTCCTTGAACAACACTGATTTGTAAAAAATATAGGCCTAAATATTGTCCTTTAGAAACAACTGCAGGTGTTTAGTTTTCACTATGATATAATTTTCTCTCTTTTCTAATGATGTACTTTCCCCAGTACAATGCGTCTTTGTAAAGAAATTCCACAGTGGCTCCGCATTGCAATTACCCCCTTTTCCTCTATTTCCCCCTAACTCAACTCTATTTATTTCACTACTTTCTTAGACTGATTCATATTCTTATCAATACAATCAAAGAAACTCTGCAAGCTCCCAAAGTGTTTGTAGGCAAATACCCAGCTTGGGCCTAACCAATGATCATCCTAATATACTGACAAGTCTGGAGAATGGATAGGCTGGGTCCAGTAAGTCTCTGTGGCAGAGGGCCTGAGGAAACTTCTAGCGTGAAATCGTCTGTAGGGAAGAAGGAATCTTTTAGATACATTGGTTTATTTGGAGTACTCAGTGCCAGGACAGAGGGCGAGGATGATTTTGAGTGCACCCCCATTTCTGTCTGTCACTCTGGTCTAGCCACCATGATCTCATATTCTTACTCAGAGACAAAGAGGGCTATAATGAAAAAAAAATGACTAAAAATTAATATAAACAGGATTTCTGAGGGGCCATGGCATTGGTATACTTATGCTAGAAGTGTCCATGACAATGTGAGGGGGCATTTGCATTAACTGCAACAGTCAGAGCTTTGGTCTAGGTGCCATTGCCCTCGGAACGTGGCACTGCATTTTGGCTCAGCAACTGCAGTATTATAGCAGGAACACCTTTGATGTGCATTGTTGAAAGAGCTGCTATTTTGTCCATTGCCATTGCCATAGAGATCTGAAGCAAAAGAGAAGATCACGATGGCACATTGCAGTCAAATGATTTGGCTGCAGAGCACAGCAAGAGTTTCCTGAGAAGTTTCAGGACTATTTTGGAAGAATTTGAGGGTTTCTGGCTTTACCACAAAGCAGGTAGAGTGTAGCCAGAGAAATACTAATTTGTAACTGTCCGCTTCCCTTCTTGCTTGATTATGAGCATTTATTCTTCATTCACTAGTCCTTGCAATTCCACATTTCCCAAGGACTACCAAATGGGTATCCCTTGTTTGTTTCACTAAGCCCATTTGTTCCCATCTTCCACTGGCTAATGCGTCCACCTGAAAGAGACACACATCACTTTCATTCCTATTCCACTGACCACAGCAAGTCACAACTTTAAGGAAGGTGGGGAATAAAAATGACTACCACATGCCAAGAAGGAGAATAATCAGAATATTTATGACAGTCAAAAGACTGCCATAGTACTTAAGCAGTGAATTGCAAATGTCATGATAGAAATATTAGTTATGATGATTGCTATTACTAAATTGAAACTACATTACTCCACCTAATTATGGTGCCAACAACTGCATTAATCACTACCTCCCCACCTAGTGCAACTCTTCATGACTCCCTAAGATACAGGGTGTGCCTATGAGTGTATGACCTAATAGCCAGAATATGAAGGAAACCATAATTCTGTTGGTCTATGTTACATTGAAAA